GAGCGGCGTGTAAGAATCGCTGCTGTAGGGAGGGCTGATCTCCAATAGGAAGTGGGGGTGCGGAAACGCTATGAGCATGCAAGGCACGAAGCTGGTGCAACTCAGCTTGCATAGCATGAAGCTGAACTGCCGCCTGGGTGGGCAACGCTGGCATTGCTGCGGTTTCCCGCTGCATTGACTGCGCTGCACTGGGTGGGGGCATAGCTTCGTCCAATCCGTCGGTTCCTGGAGAGATGGCCATGCGGGCCGCAAAATTGGGGGAAGCTCCTAGAATATCGGACATATCAGCATCCAAGTTGCGCGCGACTGACGGCGACGACTCATCATGCGGGAGGACGGACGACTGGTGTCGTGCCGTCATCCTGCATAACTAGTCCGATGTCGTCAGGTCGGGTCGCAGGTTGGACGCGATGTCGGATATAAAAGAGAAGGCTGATAACCTGTATAAGGGTGAGGAGGACCAATGGACCGACCCCACCCCGAGTGTCCGTCGGTAGACGATGAGGGACGATGGTTTTACCCAACGTACCTCCAACTATCGAGTACCTGTCATCCGAGCCAAGAGGGGCGATGGATATGAGCAAGATAGGAGGAAAGTAGGGGGATTCACACACAACGTCCAGAACAGGCAAAGAAACCTTCAACATCGCCCCCAGACGGCCAAAACGGCCCCAAAGAAGGGTCGAAGAGACTCCAACAACAGCCCACGAAGCCCCCAAGACAGCCCAAGAGGGCCCACAAACGGCTCCATGACGGAGTCCAGAGGGCACCTTTTCGAGCCTTCGGCCCCAAGACGCCCCCAGTCTGCTCCAAGAACACCCCAAAAGGCCCTGGGGGACCTCCAAGACAACCTCCGAGGCCTCCAAGAGGCCCCAAGGAGGTCCCCAAGAAGCCCCAAAACTACCTGCAAGACGACCCCGTCCGGCCTCCCACGAGATCCTCTTAACCATCCGTGTGGCCGCATACCTGCAACCCAAGCAAGGTCACTCGTCCGGTTTTTGGACCGTCACCTGCCGTCTACGAGCGCGGGTGTTCGCAAGTCTTTCCCCATGTCTGCACGGCGAACACTTCCAAAGTCAGCCACGCAGAACGCACTGACCACGCAGTATCCCTCTACCATCTGACATTGCCCCCGCCTCCAGAGCGCTCCGAAGAGACCCCGCGAAGCACCCCTCAGATTCTGACCCCCTTACTAAGCCGGTTTGGACCGACGGCTATAACAAAATTTCACGGTTCAGACACACGCACAGGGTCTCGACACCCAGGGCAACGCGCACGCTGCCCGAAGTGTCGGACATCTTTCCAAAAGGCCACCAGAGGCAGGAGTACACGCCTCCAAATCAAATCGTCCCTCCTCCTTCTCCTCCTCCTCCGATGACCCTCCTCCGCCTCTCCCCCACCCTCCCCCGCCTCCTCCTCCTCCTATTCCGTTTTCTCCTGCTTGGATTTCCTCATTCATCGATTTCGTCCTCCCTCTCGCTCTCACCCCCGTTGGTAGTACTTTTACGGATCGTGGCACCGGCGCTCGCATGGGTATCATTTGCACGCCTTGCACTTCAGGGTGCCATTCTTTTCGTCGCGCGCGACATTACTACTGTCCACGGAGGGAGCCCGCCCACCCAAAGATACAAGACAACACAAGTATGCCCCAGGACAGCAACACGACATCCCCAAGTCGATCAAGGGGTCGGCGGATGTGGCGTAAGCCTATAGAATCAAAAATGGTCAAAAAGTCGTCCCCTGACTATTTTTGGACTGCTTTTGAATATTCCCCCTGTAGAGGGACAGGCCCGACTTAACGCTACCTCCTGGACCTCTCCTGAAGTGTGTTCTGACAAGAAGTGCGAGGAGAACCCAGCCGCGGCGGCGAGGGCTCTCCAAGGACGAGCAGGGGCAACGGCACCGCGTCGTCCTCTGACACTGAAGAGACCCAAGGACACACAAATGAGTACAGACGAATAACGATTCTCCGTGTTTTACCATATTTGGGGGATTTCGTCTTCCCCCCCCCACTTCCCATATTTTCCCATATTTTCTGAGGAATCGACAATTAATTGTGTCTGTGTATTTTTTCCCCTCCTGAGACATCCCGGGAAGGATGGAAGTGCGCCCAACGCCTCACAGCACGGACGTGCGGCAGGCACCGCGTCCAGCGCGCCTGGCGTCGCACAACGTGCCCTCGCGGTGTCTCTGCTTCTGTTAAGCTGGCCCACTCTGAAGGGGCCCTGGGACACACAAATTAATACACACAAGTCCCATGATTCCCCATATTTTCTCACATTTTCTGGATTTTCGTCTTCCCCCCCCACCTCCCGCATTTTCCCACACTTTCCTGAGGATCGACGATGAATTGTGCCTGTGTGTTCTTCCCTCCTGACACTCGGGAGATCTTGAGACCACCCCTGGATCCGCGCAGTCCTCGATCGGCCTCTCGCGCCCAGCGGCCGACCTCCCGCCCGGCGCACCCTCGCTTCCCCCAGCCAGAGCAGGGCCTGATGAGCAGCGATGGACAGAAGCGAGACGGGTGCCGAGGAAGGGCCGCCGGCTGCGACCTCTCTCCAGCGCCCAGGCGCCGGCCTCGAAATGCGCCTCGCCTGGGGTGTGGTGCCACCGAACGTCAGCATCGGCTTCAGGCAAGATGCCGGGATGAAGCGTGGCTCAGGCGAGGGCCACATTGTCAGCCCTCGCTCCTGGGCTGAAACGGAATCGCCACTGCTCTACATGGTGACCTTGCACCTAAACACCTTCGAAGAAGACCTGCGTGTCAGACCCTGTCCATAAGGGCTCCATACTCAGACTAAGCTTCTACGCGGCGGCTTTCTCTCCAAGCGGTGTGCGGTTCAACGCAGCTTCGTTTGTATGTTCTTCCCGCTTTGGGCGGTGTTGATCGTCTGATTGTATGTCTCTACTCTGGGGACCGATATGCACAACATCCCCATCCACTGTCCTCTCGATATGGTCAGGTGTCATGTGGTGTAGTCCTGCATTGCTCCCCGGTTACATTGAACAAACTTATCCTCACAGGTGACGTGTTCTTTCCACCGTGAACGATGCCACAACTTATTGCACTATCTTTTCGACCACACATAGTTGTTGTCGATGATGCCGGTCGAGACCCTCCACTCCTCGTCAAGAGGATCGTTCCAAGCGCTGAATACCAAGGCCTCGGCCAACGGCCACCACACGAGGCAGGCTCAGATTATCGGCCGCAGCCTGGTACCAGGGACAAGGATACCAGCCAACATGTTTCCACGGCTGAGTGTGGTTTCCACTGCAGAAATGTGATCCATAGGCGTGAGCATCTCTGCGGTCGATTGTTCTACGCTGGTCATGACGCAATGGTAAAAACAAGATGTAAGGACTATGCATCAGAGCAAAGCTAGGTCATTAATGGACGACCCCGTGCGCTGATGATGAGTATGACGATGCTGCTGATGCTGACGATGATGATGATGGTGATGATGATGATGGTGGTGGTGATGATGAAGCTGATGATGATGATGATGATGATGGTGATGGTGGTGGTGATGATGGTGGTGATGGTAGTGATGGCGAGGGTGGTGGTGATGATGATGGTGATGATGGTGATGATGACGACGGAGGTGGCATGGATGATGCTTGTGATGATGACGATGACGATGAGGATGATGATGACGGTGCTGATGATGATGATGGTGGTGGTAATGATGATGATAATCGTGATGATGACGATGATGATGATGAGGATGGTGGTGATGATGGTGGTGCTGATGGCGGTCATGATGATAAGAAGGAGATTCCCCACCCGTCCTTTTACACAGAACTCTCATATATGTCATCCGCATGTGGTGACCTTGCAGACAGCACAATTCTGAGACCACGCCGGCGTGAGACACACAACAACGTACTTTACAGATCCGTGCCGTCAACACAATTGCTTGCGGCCCGCCAAAAGCCAGGGCGGGTAGGTCGTGCACCAGTTCAGACAGGGAGGGAGGCTTGAGCGAAACGTATACGGACTCTGTGTATTCATCTCCTACACGTTCTGAGTACAAGTCGGAGATTCCCCACCCGTCCTTTTACACTGAACTCTCATATATGTCATCCGCATGTGGTGACCTTGCAGACAGCACAATTCTGAGAACACGCCGGCGTGAGACACACAACAACGTACTTTACAGATCCGTGCCGACATTCGAGGCACCAAAAGTCGCTATCGGTTCTCTGCCGTCAGCGCGGCTCGGGGTCTTTCACACGGAAGGGGTACAGGCGGATGGCTTGCCGAAAGACTCGATCGAATGCAGCATCTTGAAACACATGGGCCATTCGATTCGCAAGCACGTGAGGGTAAGCTGCGGCGCGAGCGGTCCAGTGAATGCCCAGGCCGTCTCGGCCCTGGAGAATCTGGCGTTTCTTTCCAGAGAACGAGCAGATGCCACGGACAGCTTTACAACGCTTACACAATTCGTCGGCTCTCGGCAGCAGGAAGCATCTCAGCCTAGTGGGTCTACACCACGGCGTGCCCCAACCGCAATAGTTAGTTATAATATCGCGGACCCCGGGCCAGCGAAAAATCTGAACGGCAGCATCCAATTTCCACATGTAGGATGACTGAGGATTCTCCCACAAAAAAAGGAACCCGCATCTGTTTACAGCACTTAAAGATCTTACAGGACACCTGAAACAGTTTGTTGCCCTCGTCTACCAGGCATTGCAGATGAGGAGGGAGCGAGGGGAGGCCAGAGGGAGCTTGCGACGATCTAATTGCATTATGGCCTCCTCGGGCAATGGAGAACGATTTACATGGCACACCAGCTAGCACACCGAGACATCTGTCGGACTTGATCATCCGCATGATGCACTTCAAGACGGCGGGCCTCAGGAGGTCACCTTGGGGCCCTTGTAGCACATCAAATGAGTACACTCTGAAACCACGACGGCGCAGCGAATTCGAGAAATCTCCCGAGCCCGAGAAGATTTCCATGTAGAAATACTCGTGTCTCTTGGCGCGGGGATCGCTCAAGCGTTGACGGATAGCGAGGCGGCGCCGAGCAGCGAGGGCAGCTCGGCCTCGGCCTGGAGGCAGTAGGCCTTGGCCGAGGGCTCCATCTCGCTCCACACCGCCTGGATGAGCCCGCGCTTCTCGCAGCGCCTGACCGAGCTCGGCTGGCGCCACCTGCCGCGCCGCTGGACCTCCTGCAACGAGATCCTCCCCGTGAAGCGGTCGATGGACGCGCCGCTGTGCCGGGCCGTGTAGAGCACGGGCAGCTGCTTGTCCAAGCCCAGCGCGCGCGTCGCGCGCTCGAACACGCCCTTGGCCCCCGTCATGGTGAACGTCCACAGGGATGCGCTGGGCGGGCCCTGGGCTAGCCGAACCAGAAGGCTGCCCAGCCATGGACGTGCCACGTCCACTGTCTCGTCCATCTCGCCAGTCTTGCTCGGTCTCTTCATGTAGTCGGGGTTGATGTGGATCGTCACCTTGGGCACGTGCGCCTGCGGCGGGATCACCTGGCCGCAGGTCAGGCGGAACGCCTCGCCAGGCCTCAGGTACGTGTCCACCATCAGGAGCCAGAACACCGCGAGGTCGGGGCGGCCGCTGATCCGCCAGATCTGGCGCGCCACGCCCATGCAAGCCGCCCAGGGCAGCGGGCGCCGCGTCCGCGACGGCCGCAGCAGGCGCCAACCTCGCAGCGCGCGGTAGGCGCGCGGCAGGGCCAGCTTCCCCTTGCTCTGGTAGTCGGGCACGTGCATGAAGATGGCGGCGAGCAGCTTCTCGCCCGTCGACGCGACCTTCCCCTCGAGGTACAGCTCGTCGAGGAACCTCACCACGGCGGCGTCCGTGTCGGCAGCAGGCGCAGCCAGAGATGTCAGGCGACTGCGACTGAGGAACAGCTCGAGCAGCCGCGTGTACTGCAGTCGGCTCCGCCGTCCCACCGCGGCAGCCTCGGTGATAGAGAGCTGGCGGGTGGTGTCCCGCGCCTGCTCCCCAGCGTCCAGGCGGCGCTGCACAGAGCGCGGCAGCTCCCGCAGGGGGATGCTGCGCGGGGCCGCCAGCACCACCGACGGGCGTCGAGTCAGAGCCTCGCGGCGGCGCAGGGCGGGCGAGCCCAGGGGGCGGCCCGAGCTGCGACGCGACGGCGTCCAAGCCGCCGAGGGCCGCAGAGGGGCCTGCGCTGTCGGGCCGCTCCCAGGCGCGCTGCGCTTCAGCCGCCTGGTCGGCGGCGGCGCCGCGAGGCCGCGGGGCCGCAGCGGGCGCGCGGCTGCCGGCGGCGGGGCCGAGTCCCGGCGGGCCCGCGGGGGCCGCGGGCCAGCCGCTGCCGAGCCGACTGTCGCCCTCGGGGCCCCGCGCCGAGCCGCGGCGGTGCCGGAGCTGACGCCCGCGCGCCGCGGTAGCGCGCCAGCCGGCCCCAGATGCAGCGCGCCCTGCAGCACCCTCGCGGGAGCGGCTGTCACCGTCGGCCGCATTGAACTCGCTGGGCACCCATCGTCGATGCATGCGGGCCCCCGAGGCGAGAGTCAAGGCGGCGCCTCGCCGCAAGATATTGAGCAGAAATATATCACGACAACGTCCTTTAGACAGTGCAAGTGTGAGTGCTAGATTGTCCCCCAAGGCGAGGCGCCTCTTCCCCCAGGAGTCCGCGCCCGACAGGATCAGCTTCACGGCGTGTAAGTCACCCCTCGCCTCCTCACGATGCATGGGCCCCTTGCCGAAGAGTGGCGAATAGTGCATGGTCGACCAGCTGGTGCGGCGGATGGTGTGCGTCGACACTTCAGGGAATCTTTTGTTGGCGAGACCCTGGCACAACAGAACAGACGGGTGCGCATCGAGCTCGGCGACCTCGGCCGCGCGTGCCGCGCGGTCGCGCGGCCGCCAACCCCCGCCCGCTTCACGCGTGCGGCGGAACCGCCACCGCTCGTGCCAGCGACCAGCACTCTGCACCTCGGAAAGGCCCCACTCGCCCTCGACAGAGGCGTGGCCCGTCTCGCAGGCGTCAGTCATGACGACCTCGGTGGACCACTCGGCGTCGAGGTCCGAGACGAGCGTGACCAGCAAGCCGCGGAAGATCCTGAACTCGCGCCGCGCCGACGCCCAGAGGGGCCTGGCGCGCTGGCATTCTGCTGGACGAACGAGTAGACGGCGCTGAAGCAGCTCAAGCTCTCGCGCCGGCACAGCGCGGCGAACGTGCAGTGGCCGATGACGTGCTCGACGTCGCGGCTGGTGACGCGGGGCCGGCGCTGCACCAAGTAGCCGAGCCCCACGCACAGCTTCCAGAACCGCCGCGGCGCCAAGGTGGCGCGGGCAGGCGATCCCTGCAGCTGCCCGCCGAGCATGGCCATGCTCTCGGCGGCGTCGGTCTCGTCATGGACGGCCAGGCCGGAGCCCTCCAGCGCCTTGGAGGCCTCGCGCCTGACCTTGGTCACGGCCTCGCGGTCGGTGCCAGCCACGAGCACGTCGTCGACGCACAGCGAGTGGATGGGCTCCCCGAGCGGGCCGGGGACCGGCACGAAGTCGACCGCCCGCCGCTCGGGCCTCAGGGCGCCGTGCTGGTCCAGCGTCCGCTCGTGAGCCTTCTGAACGAAGAAGAGTGCCCAGCCCCACCCCATGGGAACAACGGCAAGTTGTGGGTAAAGGCAGGCCCAGGGCGGGACACGCCGCCCGTCAAGCCTGCCGATGCCGAGCTCGCCCGCGGTGACCTTCGGCAAGCAGAAGTACGACCGCAGGTAGGCCGGCAGCTTGTGTTGGTAGAACGCGTTCTGGACGTCCACCCCCGCGTAGTAGAGGGGCGTGTCCTTCGGCACCTCGAGGTCCGCGAACCCCGCGGCGGAGAACAGGCTGACCGACGGAGGAGGCTGAAACCGCTGGTTGCTACGCCTGCAGTCCAGCACCATCCTGATCCGCTCGTCCTTCTTAGCCACGAAGAAGGCGGAGACGTCCTCGGTCCTGTCTTTCCCTAAGACGAAGACGCCCCGCGAGATGCCAGACTGGATGAATTCAAGGTAGAGCGGCCTGTTCCGCTCCAGCACAGGGTCCATGTAAAACGTGGGCCCCCCCTCTGTCTCCACGGCCTCGTCGAAGCTCGGTGGCGGCAGCAGCAAAGCATGGTCGATGTCCAAGAGAGAGCATCGTTCGCTTGTCCCCAGCCGATCCGCGAGCCACTGAGGCCCGTTTCCCAACTCGGGCCAGCTGACGAGGTGCGGAGCGTAGGGCCTCAGCGGTGAGTCATTAGCCGTGTCGCAGTGCAGACACGGGCGGCCCAAAAGCTCTGAGCAGGCTTCCTGGGCCGACGTGCTCGGAGGGGCAGCCATATCACGATACAGCCCTCGAACACGCCGATGCAGCAGATCATCCAGATGTGAGAGGCGCTCTGGCGCGACCCGCGGTGTGGCGTAGCCCCCAAGCAGGTTGAGGCACTCCACGGTGTCCCGAGTACGCTCCTCGATCAACTGGGCGCGGGAAAGGCGAGCCCGACCCGAACGGGATAGTCCAGGCGGTGGAGGCGAGGCAATCGGCGACGCAGACACGGCAAAAGGTAGCATGCCATCGCCAGGAGGTTGGACATCAGCAGGTCCACAAAACTGGCTCTCGAAATGCGGCGATCGGGTCGAGCCACCTCCCGATCTCTGACACCAGGTCACCCCTTGTCCTTCCTGCCCGACTGGGCAGACTTCTCCTCGCGCGCCTTGCGCCTCTGCTTCTGGATCTCCGTCTCCTTGGCGAGCTGGTCGGTGGCGTACTTGGCGACCCCCGGCGCCATCGCGACGCCACGGCGGGCGCTCTGCTACTGGCGGCCGATGTAGTGCTCGACGCCCTCGATCTCCATGCTCCCCATGGTCTCCTCGATCAGCTGGTAGGCCCGCGAGGCCACCTCCATGCTGGCGAGGTTGGAGCCGTCGACCTGGTCGTAGGTGACGGCCATCTCGATGGCGAAGCCGAGCAAGTCGTGGACGTGCGCGGCCGCCGAATCCTTGGTGCAGCCGCTCTCCATCATCCACTTGGCGTGGCGGCCGTCGGGGGTGCCGCCGTGGTCGAAGATGTAGTCGCACAACCACTTGAAACTGCGCTCGCCGACGAGCGGGAAGTCGCCATGCTGCTCCTGCCTCATGGACGACACCGCCTCGCGAAAGTCGCGGTGCCTACGCCCCTCCCGCGTGCGCTGGAGAGGGCCGAGGAGGCGGGCGTCGTCGTCAGCTACCTTGTCCAACACCTCGACAGGCAGCGGGACAGGGTGGAGCTCGATCGGCACGACGAAGCCGCCCGCCGTGCTGTAGAGCCCGCTCTCGCCCCAGACCACGTCACCCGCCTTCGGGACGACCTCGTCGAACTGCTGGCACTCGTTCGGGATCGTCTTCATCACAAACCATGCAGACCCAGGCGGCGCGGCCCGCTCGTCAGTGAGCACCACCGCGCCAGGGCCGCCCCTCGGGGTCGGAGTGCCCCCGACCTCGCCGTTGGCGAGCGCCCCTGGCTCAGCGCCCGCGGCGTCCAGCGGGGGCGGGGCCACAGGCGGGCCACGAGGCGGGCCGCGCGGCACGGCAGCGGACGGGCCCTTGCCCCGCGCGCGGCGCAAGAAGCCTGGCACGTCGTTGAAGCTGACCGTCATGCTCTTGGTGGGCCGGCCGCCGTCGCGCATGAAGGCGGTCGGCTCGGACTCGCGCAAGCCGGCGTTGCGGGCGGCCAGGCGAGCGTCCCGAAAGGGGTCGATCATGTCCTCCTCGGCGGGATATTCACGAAACCTGTAGACTCGCCCCGGTGGGCGAACAGCAGCGGGAGTCGCCCCCATCGCGAGGGAAACGCGGCTCGGCCCGTCGCCATCGGGCCCTGCCGCCATCTCTTCAGGGTACACGTCGCCGTCAGGCGTGAGGCAAGTCCAGCATGTGTTGGGGAAGGCGCCAGGGTACGGCCACAACAGCAACCGTTCGTGCCATATGTTCGGGTCGTCCTCATAGTAGAAGCATACGACCCGCCCTGGCACCAGCTCGTTGAAGAACTCCTCCGCCTCGGCGACGGTCCCGTCGCTCAGGAAGAGGCTCCGGTTCGCGGGCAGGAGGGCCATCGCGGCGACGCCAGGCGGCGAGGCAAGCGCCACACTGCGTCAGCGCCGCGGTCAGCACCACCCCGAGCGCGTGCCACAGGAGCGTGTCGGGCTCCTCGGGCAGCTCGGGCGGCGCGGCCTGCAGGGCGTGGAGCTCGGCCAGCTCCGCGGACAGGTTGGCCAGCACGACCTGCACCTCGTCCAGCGCGGCGTGGCACTGGCTGAGGCTGGCCGCGTGCGCCGCGGCGAGCTGGGCCCCGCGCTCGGCAGCCCGCTGGGCAGCGAGGGCCGCCCGACTGTCCCAGTCGTCGGGCGGACCGCCTCCGCCGCCCACGCGCAGCAGGCCTGGCTGCCACGCGTCCAGAGCACACCAGATGCAGACCAGCAACCAGGATGGCGGCCGGAGAGCGAGAGGGCGCATACGTGTCAGGTGCTCCCTGAGGCGAAAAAGGCTTGAGCGAAACGTATACGGACTCTGTGTATTCATCTCCTACACGTTCTGAGGACAAGTCTGATGGTGGTGATGATGGTAAAGATGATGATCAGTGATGATGATGATGCTGATGATGATTGTGTAGTGGTGATGATGCTGGTGGTGATGATGGTGGTGATTATTATGATGATGCTGGTGGTAACGACGATGTCGACGACGACGATGCTGATGATGGTGATGATGATGATTGTAGTGGTGGTGGTTTGATGATGATGATGAAGATGAGTGGTGGTGGTGGTGGTGGTGGTGGTGGTGGCGGTGCTGATGAAGATGATGGTGGTGATGATGTTTATGATGATGACGACGATGACGATGACGATGAAGATGATTATGATGATGATGATAATGATGATGATGCTGATGATGCTGTTGATGATGATGCTGATGATGATGATGATAACGACGATTGTGACGAGATGGTGGTCAGACCTCGAGCGGCAACCCGGCGCGATCGCCTAAAGACCTATCAGCCCCACCCTCCATCCCCCACTCCCCTTCGCACCGCAGGTCACCTCACTTCGCACTTCGCGCCGCGCGCTGCGCGAAGCGCGTAGCGGGGCATCTTCAAGCCCTCGCGCCGCCCAATGGAGAATAACAGCTCTCGAGCCCAGGCCGCAGAACGCGAAGCGGTCACATTCGCGAACCTGCGGGTGACCGTGACCTGGTTCCACGGACGGGCGGCGGGGGTGAAGTGCGGAGACGGAGGCCGAAGGAGGAGGAAAACGAGGAGAAAGGAGGAAGAGCAGTAGCACAAGAAGCACGGGAAGCAGGAGTGGACCAGCAGCAGTGGAGCCAGGGAGCAGCAGCAGCATGAGGGGGACTAGGAGGGAGATGAACATCTCGGAACAACATCTTGCCGACGGGAGAAGCGGAAGGGGGTCACCAGCACCATCACACGCATCGTTGTCGCCCTCTCTCCTCACACCGCCCACCCCCCACGTGCGAGGAGGGAAGCTTCCGCTGCGCGCCATCATATAACCGGCTCGGTCAAAGCACCAATCTGGGCCTTCCACGCCAGGACTCTCTGCGCAGGTGGACCAGAAACCTCTTGAAGCACTACCCTGCCGCGTGTGGAGGAGGAGGAGGAGGAGGAGGAGGAGGAGGAAGAGGACAGCGGGCTGCAGTGGAGTGGCATAGGCATAGCCCTAACTTTTGAAGGGGCACTGCTCGAGAGGATGGCCGCTCGCAGCGCCCATCTCTGCTTGTATGCGCACACACGGCACCCGATCATGCTCAACTGGGACTCGGAGCTCTCGACCCCGTCCCCAGGACTGGCTCGGGGCATCCGACAACGGCGCAGTGTCACCACACGGTCCGTCGCCGCACCGTTTTGGGACCAGGGAGGCCCCAGGTTAAGTCGGGCATGTCCCTCTACAGGAGGAATATTCCAAAATAGTCAAAAAAAAATGGGGACGAATTTCTATGATTGCTCTACTATGTTTGAATATTTTCTTGCTATTTTATTTATCGTCCGAACCCGACCTAACCCCAGGTCTCCGAACCATCCTCGGAGAGCGACCCAGGTCCCAAAACCGCGCGGTCATCCCCAATCCCCACTGACTCACCACACGGTATGGTCACCGCACTGCTTCGGGGCCCCCGATGGCTTCTCGCCGCCGATGTTGCCCCTCTCGATGGGACTTCGACTTCGACTTCAAGGAGGCGCAATGCACGCAAGGCTCGCTCGACCCTCACGCATAGTCGCCAAAACATCTTCCGCACCATATCCAGACCGAAATTGATCCCAGTCCCATGCTGCACGACGCGTCGTGGTGCTAGCCTGCCGACACCTCTCTCTCCGCGTACTCGCTCTTGACCTTGTGCACGTCCGCTTCTTCCGAGTGCGCGGCCCTCGCTGACCCTCGTGCGAGCCGTGCCGCTACCTCGGGGTGTTCCTTGGAGACGGCCCCCAGGGGCCGAAACTCTGCGACGGAGCGCCGTCTTCTTCTGCGCGCGGCGCAGGCGGCCGGGTCTGCCCCCAGCCCTGGGCTTCAGTCGGGCCAGTCCTCCTACAGGCGGAGTCTGGACGAAAAACAAAAAATAGCTCGAAAAATACCCCTAAATGGTTCAAAAAAACTCCGAAAATCGTCCCCAAACTATTTCTCTACTACTTTCGAAAACTCCCCCTGTAGAAGGACAGGCCCGACTTCACCCTGGGCGCGACGGGAGGCCGGCCGGCCACCGAGGCCCCCGTAGTCAGCACCCCGAGAGGCGAAGCCGTCTCGCAAACGCATCCAAGGAAGGAACCGAACAGGGCAGGGCTGTGTAGTAAGCGCCGAGGGCAGGTCATCAGACGCCCACCCCAGACCCCCGACGTGATGATTTGTTCACGACGTCGACCTCCAGAGGTCTCCACCCCTCCCCCGGGACCGGCTTCTCGTCCCGAGTCGTTTTTCGACGATCCCCGGGCCCGGTAAGGGCCCCCAGAGGCCATACATTGAGAAAAACCGCCCGTCGTGATTTCTTTCACGACGCGAAGGGGTCTGGGATCGTCGGGGTCGGTCGGGGTGGTTTTTCCTCCCTTGACCGCCTTCTGGGCCCTCCCCCTGGGGGGGGCTACCCGACGACGCCGCCTGGGGTCGGCCCTACCGGGAGGGCAGGCGGGGCCCACCGGGCGCCGCCGGCAAGAGGGCGGCAGTGTCACTGCACCGACCTTGCAGACGTGCTGCAGCGGATTTCTGAACGGATTTCTCGCTCGCTCGGCCGTGCATCCGGTGGGGCGCGTTGGCAAACGCAGGTTGCGACGTTGGCCACCGAACGGAAAACATGAACTGCAAGTGTACAAAACAAAATACAAAACCCCGAAAAGGCGAGCGAAAAACTAAATGAATTGCGCGGGAATTGTTGTGAATCTTCATTCCTGGCCGAAGTAAACCCGCACGAAATTCAGCTCGAAATCCGGAACGAAACTCTCCAGGACACTCCGGGCCCATCCTGTCGTTTTCCGAACGCAATCCGCTCTGCGATGCTGGCGCCATGAGCAGTGCGTGGACAAACGGCCCAGGCCTCCGACGTCATGTTTTTTTCAAAACGTCGACCCCCACTCCGAAATTCCTACAAAAAACCTTCCGTCGTCAAGTTTCTTCACGGCGCAGGGGGGGGGTCTGGGCGTGGAGGCGGCGGCGGGCGCCCCCGCGCGGGCGCGCGAGCCGGCAGGGGAGCACGCTGCCCGTTCCCCGGAGATTCCTCGGGCTCCTCGGGTTCCTCGGGTTCCCTGGTTCATCGGGTTTCTTGGTTCCTCGGGCTCCTCGGGCTCCTCGGGCTCCCATGCCAAGCAACGCCAAGCAGTGCCAAGCAACGCCAAGCGATGCGCCCAGCGATGCGCACATGCAACGGGCTTCCCCCTGATTGGGGTCGCGCCAGGTTCATTTCAAAACGTCAACCCCCAAAGGTCTCGACCCTGTTCTCGGGCCCGGCTTCTCGTCCCGAGGGTCGCTTTCTGACGCTCCCGAGGCCCGGCAAGGGTCGTTTTCTGACGCTCCCGAGGCCCGGGAGGCCGAACCGCCCGCCGTGATTGTTTCATGACTCGAGGGGATCTGGGATCTCAGCGCTCTCCCATCGTTGAAGATCTGGGGCGGACAAAGGAGGGGAGCGCAAATAAGAAGGGGGGAGGCAAGACGGAGGGGGCAGGAAAAAGAAGAGGACCCCAAACCCTCCGACACCCCGACTGTGTCGAGCCGCCGGCCCCGTGGAGATCTCGAACTCTACATCGAGACTGGCTTGTCGTCCTGAGCCGCTTTCCGACGGCCCCACAACCGGAGACCCAGACCCCCTCGATATATATGTGTATATATATACATTAAAAATGACGGGAGGCTTATCACCACTTTCGCCCTCTGTGGGCCCTCGCCGGGCCTCACTCAGGGTGAAAAACCAGCCCCTGGCAATGGGTCGAGACCTTTCGGGGTCGACGCTTAAAAAGAATCATGACGTCGACGTCGGGGGTCTGTCTGGGGGCAGCACCCAGGGGCCCCAAAAAAGACCTTCGGCCGTGGTTTGTTTCACGACGCAACGGAATCTGCGGGGAGGGCGCGTTGCGGCCAGAATCTCGAGGCAGATCTAGCCGTGGTGACGAGGAGGCCCAGGAAGAAAGTACGGGAACTCCCAGAAACCTTGACCTCCGAATCTCGATCCTTCGAACATCGATACTCAAATCTCGGTGCGGGGGTGGCGGGAGGGGGCAACATGAGAATTCTCGGGGGCGTCCAAGAGAGGGCGTCAAAGAGGGGGGTGTCCACGAGGTTGGTTCGCAAATCATGGTCTGGGAGGCGGCAACATGAGAATTCTCGGGGGCGTCCAAGAGAGGGAGTCCAAGAGTGGGGGTCCAAGAGGTAGGTTCGCAAATCATGGTCTGGGAGGCGGCAACATGAGAATTCTCGGGGGCGTCCAAGGAGAGGGCGTCCGAGAGGGAGGGGTCCAAGAGGTGGGTTCGCAAATCATGGTCTGGAGAACGTGCGCCGCCAGAGGGAGGGCCAGGGGACGTGCTGAAGTAAGAGGAGGGGCCATGAAAAACGGGGGGAGATCTCCCGGCCATGGCCACAAATGTCGCAAAGATAGCATTCAGCAACGATCCCCGAAAAGCACGCCATCCCCAAAAAAGTTCGGCTCCTTTCGTGCACGCTATCCCTGTGAGAGGCGATCCCCTGCGAGGGATCCCTCCGTGCACGCTGTCACCCTGCCAGGGCTTCCTCTGTGCACGCTAGCCCCAACGTGGGGGGATAGCGTGTAGCAAGCAGGCCGGCGGCGCCGCATCGCACGATATCTTTGCGACGCCGACCGAAGTCAGCACCCCACTCTTGGATGCCCCGAAGTCTGGAGGGAAGGTCGAAGAGGACGACGCGTCGTCGCTTCG